CTTTTTATTATATATATATATATATATATATATATATATATATATATATATGAAGCTCATTTCTCTTTAAAGATGATGCATATGGTAATTGTTAGCTAGGTATGCTACTAAAAGAACATGAATTGGCGACACATAATTTTCATGTCTTGGATGGATTTGCCCCTTGGATTCAAACAAGTAGAAGAATTCATTTTTTTGTATAATAGTATATAATATCCCCTAGTATTATATATGGTGTATAAACATTTCTTATAATTTAGTATATATTATTATATACCAAATATATAATATTATATATTAAAATTTGAAACATTTAGAAAAATAGTAGCTATGTTACATAAAATTTCAAAATCTAACTACCTAAATAATCCAAAATAAAATGATCCATGCAATGAAGAAATATTAATTTTGCTAATTTTAATATAATAAATTAATCATTCACTTTCTAACCAAGTGTGAATGGTAAGAGGAATAGTCAAATAGAATCTATCACCACTTCACTAGTAACAAAATGACTAAACTCTAAATGGAATTTTTGTCCCCACTTTTATCTCTTACTAATAAAGCATATATTCATGTCCAAATATTGACAAATTAGTAGCTTTTTCAACTTCTTTTTCCCTTCTTTTTTTAAGCAGTTGGTACTGTAATTTAGCAGTCTGCACAAAAAAAAAAATGGAGCACAACACACAAATTCAAATTCCAAGTGTCAAATTGGGTAGCCAGGGTCTTGAGGTAACTTACAATTATTTTAACCTTGATTTCAATTTTCATTTAGGTTTTGGTTTATTTTATTTTTTAACTTGTATTTTGGTAATTTATGGAAAAGAGAAAAAGTATTAGTAGTACTTTGTGACAGTCAATTGATTTGTGTTAAATTTGTTTGCAGCAGTATCAGTTTTAGGTTTGCTGGATACAACTTAAAAGCTCAATCAATTTAATTGTAGATATATTTTTTTTCATTCTACCTATTTTTGAATTTAAAATTGGAATCTTGAAATCTTAGCATAATCTTTGCGTAATAGCAATAGATGTTTAGGACTATTGTTTTAGAAGAGGAAAAAGTTTTAAATATGCACAAAGCATCCCGAGTTAGTGTGGTCTAGGGAAAGGCTGCACTGTGATGTAGACAATCTATTTTAATTTGATTGCTTCTATGACTTGAACCCGTGATCTATAGATCACGTAGAGACAACTCGACCATTGCTCAAGGCAATGGTGGAGCCACATACACCCCTTCTTCAGAAAATTATACTGTAGATAACAATATTTTTTGTATGTATATATATATATGTTACATAGACACTTTCAAGCTTCGATGCGATTTTATTTCTTTATATTTTGAGACCCCTTGGTCAAAATTCTGGTCCGTCATGGGCTCAAGGTTCCCTTATGAGGACGAAAAGATTATATTACAAATATTTTTGCTAAAATTGATTATATTGTCAAATTCTGAGGTTTATCCTTCACATATTAAGATTTGATGTTTTTACTGAGGCAGTGTTTATTGTCCTTCTTCATTTGATTTCTGTAATAATGATTAGTCCCTTGAGTACTATACCGCCTATGTAGTAGCGGAACCAGGATTTCTGTGAAAGAGATTAAAAAATCGAAAATGAATTACCTGGGATTTGAACATGTATTTCTCTTATGTTAAGGGATTCAAAATTTTATGTATATGCTCAAAAAGATTTATTTTTAGCCTATTTATGCTGTATAACTTTCTGATAAATTGCATCCCTTCTTTGCATGTGGCTCCGCCTTTTCACCTATGATTATAGTTATGTTGTGTATGTCCATTTATCTCACTAACATTTTCGTTATTTATTCGTTATCAACCTCCAAAATTTCACTTAATTGAGAGACTCCAACCTTTTTGACACCCTTAGTTCTGATCTTGAAGAGAAGGGCTTTAGGTTCGCGATGGTTCCGAGATATGGGACATCTGAAAAACATTTATGCTAAAAGAAAAGGCAAAGTTTTACTTCTATGCTAGAAACTTTTAAATCATTTGTTAATCGTCTTTCCAGGTCTCGAAACTCGGCTTTGGTTGTGGAGGACTTTCTGGCTTTTTAAATGATCCTCTGTCACATGAAGCTGGGTGTGCAATCTTACAGGAAGCATTCAGCAAAGGCATCACCTTCTTTGACACTGCTAACATATACGGGCATGACGGTCACAATGAGATAATGGTGGGAAAGGTATATGCTTAATTGATCGGTATACTGTTCAATTTTTTGTGTTACGTGTTTGAAGATTTAGAGTCATATAATCACTCGATGTTGTTGAGACCTGTTCCTTTTTTAAAACTATCATGTAAGTAATGTTTTTGTTTCTAAATTGTCATTTTGAGATAACCAGGTATTGAAGCAGATTCCTCGTGAGCAAGTCCAACTGGCAACCAAATTTGGGTGTACATTTTCCGAGGACTTAGATGGTCTCCAATGTCAAGTCAAAGGCACTCCACAATATGTAAGGCAATGCTGTGAAGAAAGTCTCAAGCGTCTAGACGTGGACTACATTGATTTATATTATCAGCACCGGACAGACACATCTGTGCCTATAGAGGAAACTGTAAGTATCTAAATTTATCCATGTTCTTGCCTATGGTGATAAATATGTTGTACAGAAATTTGATTTTCTTGAATCAATTTCACGATACAAAAGATGGGAGAACTGAAGAAGCTTGTGGATGAGGGAAAAATTAGGTACATTGGCTTATCTGAAGCCAGCGTTGACACAATTAAGAGGGCACATGCTGTTCATCCCATCACTTGTGTACAAATGGAGTATTCTCTTTGGACTCGTGAGATAGAAGAGGATGTTATTCCGCTTTGTAGGTATATGCTCGTATCTGATGAATGTTGTCACTCAAAGATTAAGATAAACTTTAATGACTGGTTACTCATTAAGCTATCTGTAGATATCAGAAAGAACTTCAAGAATTGTGTAATAGATTTTTCTGCCTCCTTAATACAGAGAATTAGGCATCGGGATTGTTGCATACAGCCCCCTTGGCCACGGGTTCTTTGGTGGGAAGGCAATCACAGAAAGCTTGCCTGAGGGAAGTATGATGGTAAGTAATTGCAGTAGTTCCTAGTATATGTCAGGTATCAGACCGGTCCTCTCAGATTTATTTCGTATGAATGAAGTAATCGTCATTCTCTTTTCATTGTTTGGTATAACTAAAGTAGTGTGTAATAAATCCACAAGAGTTTGAAGAGTTGACGGAAAGAGAGTGCAAGCTTACTACTCTTATGTCACACCTTCTTCGTCCTAGCTAACATAGTCAAACATGTTTACTTTCTTCCACATCTATCTTAACACCTACATTTGAACGACACATGTTGCCAACTTAACACTTAGCATTGACGCTTACATAACATTATTGGTCTCATAACGTTTTTATGTAACTTGTTTTCCTCTATTATGCATCTTTTCTACTGCATAGTACTTCCCTAGAACTTCTTCGTTCTACCATCTATCATAGTTGTGTGTGTAAATATTCGTCTATCATGTCATTCTTTGGGAAAATTACGTCTAGGTATCTCAATCTCTCTGTTTTGTTAGGGTTCTCATCCAAGATTTTCCGGAGAGAACTTGGAGAAGAACAAAGCTCTTTTCACAAGATTTGCAAACTTAGCAGAAAAGCATGGTTGTACACCTCCTCAACTAGCTTTAGCTTGGCTTCTACATCAGGGAGATGACGTGGTTCCGATACCTGGTATGTAATATGCCTTCTCCATTCACATACATTTATGCAAATCAAATTACTATTTCTATTAGTTAATTGAATTCCCCTCTTCGAGATGTTGTTGTGATACAACTTGTTAAATTCTTGATCATGGTGGTGTTCGTTTGTTAACTGCAATATATCATTTAACCTTGTAAAAAAGTCGAGGCATTTCTGATCATACTTCCAATGTGTTGTAGGAACAACAAAGATTAAGAACCTAAATGCCAATATTCAATCTGTAGCAGTGAAGCTTACACCAGAAGACGTGAAGGAAATCACGGATGCCATCCCCGTTAGTGAAGTCTGTGGAGCAAGAGAGTCTGGAGTGATGTCTAAGTATGAGTATCGGTTAGCTGATACACGTTGGTGAGAAATCGTATGGGCTGTGTTTGATATGGAGGATTTATGTTTTTTCTCATGTTTGGTTCGGTCAAAATAATTTGAAAAACCGGAAAATAAATTCCTTAAAGTAAATCTATATAGAACTTGTAAATAAGGAACCTGAGGAGGTGAATCTGTGACTATGTTGCATGAAGGAAAACTAGTGCTTGTTTATGTAATAATTCTTGGACTGGTACTAGTAACTGGGCAGAAGTAGCTGCCTTAGTTTATAGAATCAATTGGTGCATGTTCGAATTCAAAATCAAACCGAAATCAACAATTCGAATCGAATAAAGTTATTATGTTATTGATGATGTGTTATTGGCTTAGCGGTTTCGATAATAATTTTTTTTTTTTAATTTCAGGCTATCGTTTCTTAATGATTTGAGATTTTTTTGTTAATGGGTTACCTTATATTCCAAATGTGAATTAATAAATTATATTTATATCATTTGTATATAAAGCTAAGGTCTAGTTAAATACTTTCATATCTGATGGTTTCAAATTATAATTTGTTCTACTATGTGTCAGTGTTAACTTTGAATAAAATACAATATGTCAATTAATACTTTCATATTTGATGGTTTCAAATTATAAATTGTTCTACTATGTGTCAGTGTTAATATTGAATAAAATACAATATGTCAATTAATACTTTCATATCTGATGGTTTCAAATTATAAATTGTTCTACTATGTGTCAGTGTTAACTTTGAATAAAATACAATATGTCAATTAATGTGCATAGTTTATTTTTTATTATCATTTAGTTTTTAAGCGATTTTCAATGGTTTAAATTAGTTTTCCCTTACGAAGGTCAGTAAATGACATTTATTATAGAATAAAATATAGTTTGCAATATTATTGTTTTGCTTTTTTTCCCAAACTCCTTTACTCCCTCCATTTATTCTACGTAGATTATATTTTCTCCGTTTCAAAAAGAATAGTCTAATTTGACTTGAAATGTAATTTAAAAAAAAAGACTTTTTAATCTTGTTGTTCTAAATTAAAGTTCTATCAAATATACTAAAATATCCTTTAATCATGTGGTCTTAAACATGTCACGTGAAAAGTTAAAAGTTAAAGTGTTGCAGAAAAAAGGATCATTCTTTTTAAAATAGACTAAAAAAAAATAGGATCGTTCTTTAAATAAAATTTGTGATGTTTTTTATCTAGTAAGTTAATTGAAAAAAAAACACTTCATTTTTTAAGAAATGTCGGTTTCTTTAAAAATGTGGCCAAATTAAAATTTTCATGTATTTTAAAATAAAATAAGAAATTAAAATTAGAGATAGTTGAAAAAATTATTTAAGAAAAAGTTAATTATAAAAACAACAGGTAAAACAAAAATAGAGAGTGCTATAGAATATTCAAAAGAATCCTAATTTGTAGCTTTTATTTAATTGAAGACTTATAAGATCTTTTGAGCTCATTTTTTTCCCTTTAATTTGGCCACTGCTACAGCAGCTAATCAAGCATTTGGTGTTTGAAAATGGAGCACAACTCCCAAATCCAAATTCCTAAAGTAAAATTGGGTACACAAGGGCTTGAGGTAATACAATTTTTCAGCTATGATTTCAATTTCTGTTTTTTTTTTTTAAAGTTTTGCATTCTTGTAACTGGAGCTGGAACTGTAGAAAAAATTGTGACAATCAATTAGCCCCCATTTGAGCATAGATTTTGATTGAAACTTGAAATTGTGATTTTTGGAAGTTGAAGCTGTGTTAAGAGTCCATTTTAGCTTTCTGGGTTACCATGTAAACAGCTTCACTGTAAACATATTATCTTTTCCCACCTTTTTCCCAAGTTAAAGTTATATTCTTGAAATTTTGTATTAGCCATTTTTTTTAATTAAAGAAAAAGTTAGAGAAACTTTTGATGGTTTAAGAGTTTAACTATTTTAATTTGAAAAAAGTAAGAGAAGAAGATTATGATTACCAAGGTTGTAGCTAAACTTCAAATGAGCATCAGTATGAATGAAAGTAGAAATCTTTGTTGCTTAGTTGATTGGTTATCTGAACTTTAACTTAATTGGTGAGGATTCGATTCTCCAACTTATAAATCCCCTTCCCCTATACCCAGGGGACATCCATATGAATTTATCTTTACTTTTGTGTATCGGTGCCCCACAAAGGTAGGGTATGGTCTACGTAACCATACTCACTCGTAACCTCACTTGTGGAACTATACTGGATGTTCCAATTGAACACTGTTCGTTCTTTATTATTCTCAAAGGATAAAGATTATTCTCTTTACTAAACATATGCGGATCTAATCACGATGTTATAGTATGTTGTTGTTGTTGTTGCTTGTGTTTATACCTATCCCGAAACTTGATATTTCTTTTTCTTTTTAGCTTTTTGCCTTAAACAAAATGAGTCAAAAACCTTATAGTTAATCCCTCTTTTCATTCTCCTTGAGTATCTTATAGTTATTCGAGCCATTCACTGAACTGAGAGATTAATGCAGTTTTGTCTATTGGAAGAAAAAGGTTGTTCAATCTAGAAATTATGAAATTTTTGTGAGTGACGATAAAATTCTTGCTAAAAGAAAGCCAACAGAGTACTTAGCTTCTATGATGTATAACAGAAATTTAAACAATTAGATCAATCTTTTATTTTTGCTAGGTCTCGAAACTAGGCTTTGGTTGTTTAGGACTTTCTGGAGTATTAAATACTCCTCTGTCACATGAAGCTGGATGCTCAATCTTAAAGGAAACATTCAATAAAGGCATCACCTTCTTTGACACATCCGATTTATATGGGCATGAAGGCGACAACGAAATAATGATTGGAAAGGTATGTTCAGTTTGATGATGGAAAGAATGGATAAAATGTTCTGTTTGAAGATTTTTGACCAATAAAAATCACTCTAGAATTTCTGAGACATGTTTTTCTTTCTTTACACTATCACATTTTCTTTTTGTTAATTGTCATTTTGCGATAACCAGGCACTAAAGCAACTTCCTCGTGAGCAAGTCCAACTGGCAACCAAATTTGGGTTGTTAGTTTCTGAGGGCTTCCAGTTTCATGTCAAAGGCACTCCGGAATATGTACGGAAATGCTGCGAAGAAAGTCTGAAGCGGCTTGATGTAGACTACATTGATCTATATTATCCTCACAGAATAGACAGAACTGTGCCAATAGAGGAAACTGTAAGTTCGATCTTTATCCACTGTTCTTACCTATTGTGATGTATGTAGTACAAGGGGAACTTGATTTACTTGAACCAACTTAATGATTGAAGATGGGGGAACTCAAGAAATTAGTCGAGGAGGGAAAGATTAGGTACATTGGCTTATCGGAAGCCAGTGTGGACACAATTAAGAGGGCACATGCTGTTCATCCCATTACTGCTGTTCAACTGGAGTATTCTCTTTGGACCCGTGATATAGAAGAGGATGTAATTCCTCTTTGTAGGTATGTTCGAAATTAATAACTTTCCTTCCTCTCAAAAATTAAGCATATCCTTAATATTTTCCTTGCCTCCTTTATACAGGGAACTAGGCATTGGGATTGTTGCCTATAGCCCTCTCGGCCACGGTTTCTTTGCGGGAAAGGCAGTCACAGAAAGCTTGCCTACGGGAAGTATAATGGTAAGTAAATGCTTGAAAAGCTTATGAAGATCATGGTCAATACTGGTATCAGCTATGTTGTTCGGACTCTCCAAAAATGCAGCTGCAGCCATGTCGGATCCTCTAAAGATGCACTACTCTTGGACATGCATCCAAGTGACATTTTTGAAGAGTCCGACCAACATAGTGTATCAGTGAGGTAGTTATTGCATGTCATATATCATGGATACTATCATCTAGTTATAAAGTGTTCATCATTCACCTTTTATTGTTTGGTACAACCATATTAATAGAGGGAACTGACAGAGGGAATGGTACAGCCAGCCACTTTTATGTCGCTTTTGTAATATAGCAACATAGTGTAAAATAGGGATACATGGTTCTAGAAACAATTGATTACATGCTAGGGAGTTCGATAAAGATGAATGCATAGGTGTGGAGTTAGGTTTCTTATTTGAGTCTTTTTTTACTTCAGGGCTCACACCCAAGGTTTAATGAACAGAATTTAGCGAAGAACAAAGTTCTATACTCACAATTCGCTAACTTAGCAGCAAAGCATGGTTGCAGACCACCTCAACTAGCTTTAGCGTGGCTTATGCATCAGGGAGACGATGTGGTTCCAATACCTGGTACGATACCAAATGTTTATACACATCAAATTACATTTTCTACTGCAATACTTTCATGTGTCTAAATGTACGCGTATTCAAGACTAGTTGTCCTCCCCTTCCATCCACCATGTGGCGAAATAATTTAGTGGTGTCTTGTTTAACCTTTTATATGAGTTGAAATACGCTGCTGCTGTATTGCAGGGACAACAAAGATCAAGAACCTCAATGACAATGTCCAATCTCTAGGAGTGAAACTTACACCGGACGATTTGAAGGAAATTACTGACTCAATTCCTATTAGTGAAGTGTGCGGAGAAAGAGATGATGCAGTGATCTCAAAGTACGATTATCGGTTTGCTAATACACCATTAAAGCAGTAAAATCGCGTCCGTGATTACTAGTGTAAATGAACTAAATCACCATTATGTGTTTCAATAAGTGAACTCATCCTTTGATTGTGTAACCCTTGTCAATTTAATTGCCAGGATATGGAGTACTATTATTATTTTACAGTTACTTTATTTCTTATTCTTACATTGGGTAATTTTACTATTTTTGTGGTTAAATATCTTTCTTTTCTTTGATATTTTCATATATGCTTCTTTAACTCTCTTTTGTCTTTCTTCAAACCTGTTTTGTAAAACCTTTTTTTTATTCGAAAGAGGATTTATTAGAAACAATTTCTCAAAGAGAGAAACCATTGTGGTACCGATTTAAAACGGAAACAAAAAGAAAGGTAAATATAGAGCATCCACTCTCACGAATACTTTAGAATCGATTTTTTATACTTACTTTTCTAGATAATATTTTAATCATAACAATAATGACATTATAATAGCAGTATATTCTGTAAAATTACCCTTCTAAAATAGTTATACTCAAATATCAGGTAATAATATTTCATATGTTATGTATAAAATAAAAAGATTAAATATTTTTAATAACTATCATTAAAATCATGTACATAGTAAATTTTAAGTAAAATATTTAAAAGAAAAAAGAAAATTGTATTCACTTATGATCATTACTTCACCAGAAAAGACAATTAATA